ACATATATTGAATTTATGGTATTGACTACGACAATGAATTATGTAACATATATGAGTGATTATCTATTGGAGTATGTTAAATTAAGGACATAATAATAATGAATTGAGTTATTTATCTGTAAGAATGATTTAAATTAGGGACATTGTATTAATTTCATAATTTTGACATATTTTCGCATGCTTGGAATAAGTCGCCATTTTTATAATTTAACGAATTGTTTATAATTAAATATTGCATGTCATAAATGGCTAAATGTGTGAAACAACGTTCTGTAACACTACCATCATATTGTACTTACCACATTTACAGCAATAAATGATTTGATTTGATTTGATTTCGATTTTTTTTTATTAGCTTTATCAACGACATTTATATTTTTTCAATTTAATTTGTTTGATTGATTAAAATTGCAGTAGTAAATGTTAAAATAACACTCTTATTATCTTGCATGTTGTCTTCACCTATAATTGCTATAGCATTAAGCTTTTGTTTTGTATTGTTAAATATTTGAATGTTGTAATGTATATAGTCTTGGTGAACTAAATAAATAAATAAATAAATACAATCATTGTATTTGGTTTACTTTTAGCCGTAGCGCCATCTGTGAGAAATCTATGAATCTTGCGTGTTTTGCTAGAAGACGTCAGTTCGAATCTTGCCGGATGGAAGGAGTCTTTTCGATCGGTGTATCAATAATTACAACAAAACTATAGTCCATGTGTTTAGGTACTTAACTAAACGTAAACAATCTTGAGATGACTATTTAATTAAGTATTCATTTATAAATAATATATATAAATAACAAATAAATAAATAAAATGATTTTTACTTATCTTCAATTGAAATAAAAAATCTGACATTTAAAAGAATTACAACTGTACTGTATAAATACCTAGTCAAAAAAAGGATATTATAGTGTAAATGACTACTTAGAAGATAAAATTTAACTTTGCATGCTTTTGTATAATGGCTGAATAGATGATCTCAAATGTAATAACTACCATCCTGTAATAACCTATTCAATGCAAATAAACCTTATTTCATTTCATTTCAAATACAAATACTCAGCTTCATATGAAATTGCATGCCTAATTTTATACCTAATAATTTGTAAAGCATAAATATGTTACAATAAAAAGATGAATCAAGATTGTCTACATTTAGTTAAGTACCTAAACAAACGGACTATCAAGATCAGCTACATCATCCTTTTCTGATATTGTGTCACTACTGGAGAGGTACATTTTTAATACATTCAAGTAAATGTTTCTTATTGAGAACCGGATCAAAATCTTTAATGGGTAATTCCATTGACTTATAAATAAATGGACGACGGGTCTAATACAAAAACCACGAAAAAATGTCCCAAGTCAACCTATTTAAAAATAGTGACATGTAAAGGAATATGAAAAAGCTAAAACGTTGAATTTAAATTGTAATTTCATCGCAGTATTGTCTAATTTTGCTTGCTTCGCTGTCAGTCTAACAAACGAAGACTAAAGCGTGAATGACGTTCTGTATACGATTTTAACGCCCTATAAGTTCGGACACTTTTTAGCGCGGACCCGACGTCCATATAATTGTAAGTCAATGGGTAATTCACACAATCTCAAATAATAAATATAATATAGTTTATTAATTTGTTTATGTAGTTTGTTATAATTATTAATACAAAGATCGAACACTTAGTAAACATCCTTCGTTCCGTGGCTTAGTTGGCATAACATCTGGCACAGTTTGCTGGAAGACTTTGGGTCGAATTCAACAAGATCGAAGGAATTTTTTCTAAATGTAGCAATTTCATAAAAATAATTGAATATAATGGTGGTCAAACATTCTGACATTCAATAAAAAGAACAATGGCAAAATCATAGTTATATGAATTAGTAAGTGTCTTGAAATCTCTTAATTACAATTCTGAATAAAATAAATTCATTAGGTTTTTCAAATTATAATAGCGGCCTATTTATGTCTGGAAATAAAATCATATTTATATGAAACTAATGACTAATTAGTATGTAACCAGACTGATATCTACAACTATCAGTTTCTTAACAATGAGCGACATCTAGCCGCTAAAAAAGGGATTTTGAGCACCAACATATGGATATGGTCCATATTTAGTTCACGTATTATCAAATGTACTGATTCGGCCGATTTGTAATGAGCTAATAAAAGATTTTATACTTCTAAAGTCGATAATTTCTTCTCCAAAATACCATGTGACAAAATGGTAAAACTGACAAAAAGTTCAGTAAGTAAAAGAAAGGAGCTGCCCTAACTACGGAATGAACGTGCATACGTAAACAAAAATTAAACGAACTAACGGTGGATTTCTTTAGTGTCGTACCGTAATCTATCGATAAGTCGTTATCAACATGCCAACATTTAATTAAACTAGATCAATATTCCATTTCGGGAATATTTTAGGTTATATGGGAATATCAAATGAAATTTGGAATTTATTGTTTTGCGTTTACAAATATTCAAATATTACGCAATGTGAATTTGCACAGAAAAATGTAATTTGAGAGTATATAAAAAAGAGAAAACTTTGAAATATAAATGCTATAAATTTTCAACCTCAAGATTCATTTTTCATAGAGAAATTTTTAAACAGATTCCAAATAGTGTAAGCTATTTTGTATTTATGCATTGGTATAGAATTAATATCAGTGACTGATTTAAGTCAATCTTTCATACTTCCATTTAATTTTGGAAATAAAAGAATGTAGTAATATTATTAATAATAATATCATTATCATATGTTTATTTGCTTAAAACATGGTATAAAAGGAGATGTAACAAGAGACAGTGTTAGTGTTTCCATGTTTCGCATATATTAAATAGCATGCAAGAGTCTGATTTTTCATAAACAGATGCATTACAAATTATGTCAACAAAAATTTGTATGGGAGTTTGCCATTGTCCTTTAATAGTAAGATTTTTCTAAGTTACGACTGTATTTACCTCTTCTGGTTACTTACTCTAGCAATAGGTAATCCACAGTGTCTTTTAAGACCGAGTAAGGCCGTAGTAAACGTGGAACTGCCATCGTTCTATCTGCGGCCGATCGGCAATACGCTTTCACCAATTTCTTAACTCCATTCTCCGTTTCTAACACATGAATAAGCCGCTCTTTTTCTCTTCTACGGAATATAAGAAATCAACGACATTGAATAAAAACGCAGGTTAGAGTTTCGAGAATTGTTACTTACAACTTTGTTTCTTCCTCAGGACACATAGAGTTACATGTACCTATGATAGCCTCGCTGTTGTTAAAGTTAGCAAAGAAATATTGCGCATAAGCCATTACTAATATCAAATAAATTAAAACAAATTTAACCTCGAAATTTTATTTTTTAACGTTTGTTTATGTTTCATGACATTTATAAATTCGTTTATAAATCATTTGACAGTACTTTTTCTTATTTCATATCGTGACTTTGGATTCAAGCACTTCGTACAGAATTTTAGAGATAAGGAGATAATACAATAATATTATCTCTATTAATAAACATAGAAATAGCTTTAATTCAGTTGTTTATGTGCGTGTTTTAACACCGATCTGTATTTTATATGAAATAATATTGGGTCATGGAAAAACGTCAATTTATATTTTTTCTCCTATATATTATTACTTTTATTCTATTATATTATTTTGCATTTTTCTGGAAACTATTTTAATAAATTACCGTTTTAAACTTTTCGGGCAATTAAAAGCCCAACACTACCCTCCATGTAACGCTTTTCGATTAACCGTACAAAGACCGTACACAGGTAATTCAAGCGCCAGCGGCTCCTCAGCAAAAAAAACTTAAAATTCTTGCTAAGAAAGATCCTTTGTAACAATCGATGTTTATTTTCGTGGGTGCTATTTAGCAATATTATCTCAAATTGATTAAAATTCAGTACATCAGAGGAAGTTTAAAAGTGGCGCCAGTGACGGAAAAGATGAGGAATAAAGGTTAGCGTAGTATGGACATGTCATGCGGAGGGAAGAATGTCATGTGACAAGAAGAGTGCTAGGTATGAATGTGGAGGGATATAAGGGGAAAGGACGGCCAAAGAAAAGATGGATGGATTGTGTGAAAGATGACATGGATAAGAAAGGTGTGAGTATAAAAATTACGGCTGATAGGGGAGAGTGGAAGAAAAATACATGTTGTGCCGACTCCATCTAGCGTGGGATAAGGACAGGAAGATCTCAAGTTGATTAAAATAAATGATTTTCTCATCTTGCTTCTCAATTTCTAAGCTTTTCATAATGAATAATATCTAGCAATTTCAAATAGTAAGCAGCACTTTTTGAAACATCAATTCATCAACTGCATTATTGTTTAAACTCAAGTTTCGGAAGCTTTTCTTTTTTACAGGCGAATATTTAAAGAACTTTCTAATAAAATAGAAAAAATAAATAATAAAAGTTCTTTAAAAAAAAAAATTTTTTATATTTAAAAAAAGTTTAAATTTGAGAATTCATTAGCGAGAAAATTATATCTATAAATTATAAATGAAATAGGTTAGCAATGCCATCGTCAACTCTGTAAAATCGAGTAGCTCCTAAAAGTAATTAGTAGCAGAAGAGCTCCTTGTGAAAGAGTTCGTATTAGTAAGTATTGCCACCGTATCTATTTTTGCCGTCAAGCAATAATGTGAGCATTACTGCGTTGCGGTTTTGAAGTGCTGATGGAATTACAAGCACATGGGATTTGTCAACTTAGGTCTCAGGGTGATGGGCGCAATGGCAGTGTCCTTTGACCTTGCAACTGTCATGGTCAGGCGCGGTGTGTCGCTTACCTTAGTCACTTGGCACCACAAAAAAAAATACAATAACTTAGCAATGCCATCGTCGTCTTCCGTAAAACTCGTAAAAGTAATACCTTTTTAGATTGGACTTCAAAAATTAGAACCTACTGTAACTTCTACTGGCAAAAACCTTTGGCTGCTATCAAATAATAACGGTTATTTAATTCAATAAAACAATTTATTAGGCGGATTAGGTCAGACGATACGAATTAGGACGATAAAGACTAATGACGAACGAACAAACCAAGAAAGAAACTAGCATGGCTTTTTTGGGCTAGACGGAGGTGGTCCAGCGCCATCTACACCAGCGATAATGTTTTCTTTGAGTTCCTTGAGTTCCTTCTGAAAAATCCACTTGATTCCAGTGGCAGAGGCTGGACTAGGTGGTCTCGTGATACATCTAAAATAATGTATTAACTGTGAAAGTATTTATAGAGTTCTTAGGTTTTTGCGATTGTTACACATAGGAAATGTACCTATTTTTAAAATCTAGATCGCGTATATATTTGTTCTTACAAACAAACCAACGTTTCTATTTGACTGACCATGTCAGCTGTGACCGTGGAACCTGCAAAAGGCCTATAACGTTAGTTTATTTGAAAAAAAAATATATATATACGCGGCTTGGGGTCTACAACAATTACTCTTAAATAAGTAATGCTCAATCGCATCACGCGTTTATTAATCGAGTACTACTTATTTCATAGTAATTGTTTCGGACGGATGTCATCGGACGTAATCAATGTAAGCTAAGTATTTTAGTCCGGTTGTCAGTCCCGTTGAAGTTAAGAATTTCTTGAACCTGGATTGCTTTTTAACAAAGATCATAGATTTCTCTGCTCTTCTCTAGGGATCGAACGAAACTTACTCGATTTCTGTCCCCAAAAGATTCCGGAGTCTAGGCCTGGCGAAGAACAAGGGTCCGCAATTCTTATGCTCCTCTTGACAATAGGCCACCTTCGCTTTAGAATACTTCGCTGCTTCTTTCAGGCATATATCGTATGGGAACGGATACATCTGTTCTATTCGACACATGGCAATCTTGTCTTCTAATTTCTTCTCTTTGCGAAGTTCGTCAATTGTGATGGCCACTTTTCCGGAACAAAATATTAGCTTTTTCACACCTTCAGGATTTTTAGACGCTGGTCCGGATTCAGGAATCGCTCTGAAACAGAAATTTTAATTATCCCTTTTCGATCATTTAGTTAACAGGGTAAGTCGAACCAGGACAATGAATTCCACATTGACGATCATATTATGCCGTGACGTTAAATGGTAATATTACAATATCACTAAACCGTCTGTTGATGCAGTACATATAGAGAATGATGAATACTTAACTAGAAAGTGACAAACCAAGTTTCGCCTTGCTGTTCTATTATGTTAGGTAGACTCGCCACAGAACCCCGCTGTGTAAATGCCTGCCTTAGAACGTTGAGCACTGCGAATAATTACTGTCAAATAAGTAAATACACGAGCAAATTAAAACACGCATGATGTGAATGAAGTTTCATACCTGGTATTGTATTTTAATCTGGCTAGTATTACTTATTTGACAGTAATTGTTTCGCACGGATTGCGGACGGAGAACGAGAATTCGAGAAAGTACGGCCCGAAAAGTCACAGGGCTCATTTTATCTCTATACAAGCGATATTCGTTTTTCTCGGATTCGGAACGAATACGTATCGCATGCAGTGAGCAAAGCGCTTGAATTTATCAGGAAATAAAACTTACTTTACGGTATAACAATTCATTCAGTCTTTGTTAATTGGCATTTTCTGAGATAGATAGTTATCACTCCGCAGTTCCACAATCACTACCCATCCCTATATGGTTAGTCACTACAATACCCACCTCTGGAAGCGAGTGCCGAGTAAGAAGTCTTTGAAGGGTGACCGGTAGTACGGATGCTTAAGGCCGACCTTCGGCGTGAACAGCACGAGTGGTTTACGGAACGGCATCGCAATCTGGCGTCTGATCAAGTGGAAGTAGTTCGCCGGGGTTGTCACGTTGCATACGAGCCAATTGCACGCGCGTAACTGCTTCACTGGATTTTGAACAGTTTTATTAGGTCCAATTTACAATAGAAAACACTTACGTACACAAAATGATGTAGTGATCAGGATAGAGAGGGGGTATGCTTCGATGCTTTGATCATGTAGAAAGAATGGATGTCGGTAGATTGACGGCATAAATTTACAGAGCGAATGTGGATGGAGGCACGGGAAGTGGTAGACCGCGTTATATCATATATCTGAATCAGAATGGGGATGTCCTTAATAAAGGTCAGGTTGAAATTTAAAAGTAGCAAGACTGATGGAAGTAAAGGAGGCGAATGTTTGTCAGGAGCGAAGCAGGTGGAGGTCCATGGTAGAGACCATGCATACAGACAGGCGTGATGATATGTATGTACATACCTACACATACTTAAAGCGCTAACACCTTGCGGAGAAGCCGTTAACCATTCATAAAATAAGTCAACCAAAGTTCAAAAAGGCACTATAGATTTGTCGTTAACTCGTTGATCTCCTTGCATTATAGGAATCAATGTGACCAAGTTGGCATTCAGACTTGCAATATATAATAGCCGACTGGCGGACAGACTATGGGTTTTTTAGCTGATTTTGTTTTGTCATTCGTTGTGAACAATTTGGCAGCATCTTTTCAACGAGAATGACGCAATATACATTAATATTTTAGTGCTGAGAAAACCTCAATTCTAATTCGCTGGGCATACACTTTTGCAGTCTACGAGAGCCTAGTGGAAACTAGTGGATCATTAAAAAATGTGAACTGCTATCCGTCTGACGTATGTAATTCGAGACCGCCGCAGCAATACTTGGCTTTTCGTAGGAGCACTTATAAAGTTCCCAATGGCATAAATTTGCACCCATGATTCGATACAGAATTAAGTGTTCTTTATTGCGATGTATCTAAATAATACATTTTCGTAAAAATTATAAGTTATGTCCATGTTTTGTCTTTATCTGAGCTTGCCATCGTTAAGAAGGGATTTGAAAATGGGCATAAGGTTCTCGATGATTATTCCCCAGAGTGCACCAGATGTACAGTGAATATTATCAATTGTACATATTTTGACGGCTTACGTGGACGAGTAGCTTACACACCGGTTTCCACGGTGTCGCCATTTCTGACGTCCCGGGTTCGATCCCCGGCCGAATCAGAGTAGAAAACTAACTTTTCTATATTGCCTTGTGTCTGGGTGTTTGTGGTACCATAGTTGTTTCCGATTTCCACAACACAAGTCCTTTAGCTTTTATTTATTTATTTAATTACGGGGAAGGGCTCCTTTCGTGCACCCCAACAGACGATAGACAAAGTCTGTCGTCCTTTACTTAAAACACTAATGGATACGTGGTACAGATGATTATCGGATACATAGCACCGGAGCTCACTTCAGCGAAACCGAGTGGCGGATTTGCCCTAAGGCCCAGTAGGCCCGGGCCTAGGGCGGCCAATCGTGACAAAAAAATCACTGATGATGACAAGAAATAACTCAAAGTACCTAAATATTCCAAAGGCTCACGCACATTACGGCGGACCGTACTACACCGCATCGTATAACAAATACAATAATCTTCTTAGATCACTTTCCTAAATTTTTATGTAGAAAATATTGTGGCGTAGGAAAGCCGAGACACGCGGCTATAAGGTGGACTGTATTTAGGGCGATGATATAGAAGTACTCTCGCGTTCCTCCCTTCGACGGCAGCGGTGCAGTGTGAGTCTTCAGCGGGGCAGATGGCACAGTCTTGTTCGTTTGTATTGTAATAATCAGTCGCAGAAATAGTGATAAAGATTTAAAGGAATAATTAAAACATTTTCATGCAAGTTTCATGGGCCTGCCAACGTCAACACCGACGACACCGCGCAGCCAGTTTCGTTTCAGTCAGTACGCGGGACATTCGATATCATTATAGATTGAATAGCACAGCCAGAATACCGAACAAATATAGATATGTTACATATCTATAATGTAATGTCACTACATCACTACATATTATTACCTACTACCGCGTCTGACTGTCTGTTTGATAGCGATAACTCAAAAACTACTGAATCGATTTTCATGCGGTTTCCACCAATAGGCAGAGTGACAGTGAAATTAATTATGTAGTCTACCAGTATATGATGAGTGCTGAGAAAGGAGCGGTTCGTTTTGACTACATGGCCTGGGGCCTAGGGCGGCCAAAACTGTAAATCCGCCACTGGCGAAACCTACCATCTAGGTTGCTAGTTTAGATTAAATATCTGCAGCGTTGATTCCCAAAGTGGTCCATATTGACCAATCTACAAAGCGTTCATGTCAGCGGCAAAAATAGGAGGTGCATGAGACGTTAGAAACCCATTTAGGTCGGAGTATATAATATGAAAGCCAACATGTAGGCCAGAACCCTTTCTTATAAAAGGTATATAAATTACCTATAAAGTAAACATATCACAACAAATAAGAAATTGAGGTAGATAAATTATAAGGTTTCTTGGTATGGAGTTAAAAGTGGTTAGCACTGTGGTTTGATGATGATGAATTTGTTAAAAAAATGGCATGGTGTGGTATACGAGACAAAAATATTTGGGAATCTCTGATCTACAAGATCAAGAGCACGTTAAAGTTGACACTTAAGATTTAAAATCAAGCCTAATGCGATTATAACGGCCTCAAGTCTAAAGGTTTGATGTATTCTTGACTGTACTTACATTCTAAATCTTTGTCATCGAGTGAGGGTAACGCGTCTTCATCGTCATCGCACTGCATCAAATAGCGCTCAGGGCGTGCCGATGAGTGTTCAGGACCCTGTATGGCGTCATCATACAGCGTTAGACAAAAGAATATAACATAACGTATATTACCAACATCCATCAAGTACATAACCAGAATTAGAGACGAAATGTCATTTAATTTGTTTAAAAACTGTTATGCCAAATCACTACGGTGACAACTGCGCTCCGATTGGCCATCCCAAATTCGAAACGATTGACGGGTGCCGTCAATTGCTTCACTTCACATCGACCAGTTTATCTTGAGCTTGATAATGGACAAAAATTTAAAAGTTACATATTTAATTACAGATGAAATGTGATTCCGTTTGTTTTGTAATTAGATGTTTTGCTGTTTTTCCCCCACCACCGAATGCAACAGCCCCCCATAGTAAGAGATATTATCTTTATTACAATAAATACAGAATATTTTTGGAATATACGGAGACTTACACACAGGTTAGTTGTTGGCGCTGTACTATTTCAGCTTTCTAACTTGTGATTTCACCGCAAACGAGAGTTGATATTTAAAAGTGATATAAGGCCCATTTGCCTGATGAGTTGCCAGGGATGGATGGGCCATTATTTCGTCTCTGATTCTGGTTATATACTCAATGATTACATCACTCCCTTTACACAGCGTTGGCTAAATTCGAAAATCTGTTAATGCCGTTTTTAGACGAAATCTCTTTACTCTTCAAGTGCAATATCGGGCAATGACTTAAGCATAAGTATAATATAATTTGTAGACCTATTTTAGTTACAAAATAAAGGTATATTCATAGATTATCATATAATTATTTCTAGTATTTTTTCTGTGCCTGTTCAAAAGTTCACATGACTGATGGTTACGAGATTTACGTTTCTGCGCTCTACTTACAGCAGCTACCCGTATAGAGCTTTTTATTAGAGGTTGTATAAAAAAAACTGAAGTACAGACCTACCGCTTAATTGAGCCGGTTCCTGAGGTAGCTGCGATGTGAGGGAGAAGTAACAGTTTATGTAATAGGCTTTTTTTTATAATATAATATCAAGTAACGGGACGAACAAGTTGTGCGCCTGATGGTACGCTATACTATGGACTGGCCATAACAGTTCCAGCGCCACTCAGAGCTTTAAATTGCACAGATCTGAGGGGCACTACCGCTGCGCCCGTCGTCACCCTGAGACATAAGTTGACAAGTCTCATGTGCCTGTAATTTCACCAACACCCTGACCCTTTAGCTGACATTACTGCTTGGCGGCAGAAATAGGTCCTTACCTATCAACTTCCTTCCTTATCAACTTGCTATTGAATATCGTCAGAAAAATCTTGTTGGAATTATCCCGTGTACAGCGCGACGTAACTGTTACGTAAACTGTCACTCCTCCCGCATTTTGTTTCACTTATTGAACTTTTACCTTTTGGCACAAACTAGAGCAAGAACTGGCTGTTTGTGTTTGTGACCTAGGTCACTCGAAGTTTATTAAAAAATTAGGTAGGTTCTTTTTACTCCCTAGGGATTAAATGATGCACTATTCCTACTACTTAGGGCTATATTGACGTACTTTTCTAAAAGTGCTCTAGCACGAGACGCGAAAATTATATTATTTTACAATTTTACAATTGACATTGTAGGATTTTAACTTAATTAAGAATAAGAACATTATATTAATTTTTTTTAAATACGCAAATACTCAATAATATAATGTGGAAAGGTGGAAAAAAATTAGAATAAATAAAGAAGATTTTAAAGAAAACAATTTTTTTAAATTGATATTCAATTCTTTTTTATGTGAAATTACTGCTGGTAAAGGTAACTGTAAAGGTATTGCACTGGGTGATGAAATACTTTCATAGATTTCTCATAGATGGCGCTACGGCTAAAAAGTCGTTGAAAAACCAAACAAGCACATAGAAAAATTCGTGAAGTTCGTTGGTTCGTTCCGTGTCTTAGTTGGTAGCGTCTGGCACGGTATGCTAGAAGACGTCGGTTTGAATACGTCCGGATCGAAGAATTTTTTCTGAGAGTTCGATCTTATCTTTGTATTAATAATTATAACAAACAAACAATGTTCAAGGACTCCGACTAATCAATATCGGGGGGACGAAAGAGGGACAAAAAATGGACCCATTGCAAAAAAAATTACAAGAAACTAACAGCTCCATCAATGCCATGTGGTAGTTGCATTATGACGCCCGATTGACAAATCCATTTGCTCTCGCCATTGCAGATGAATGTGTCGAACATTGCCTGTCCAGTGTCTGCGAAATCGCCGTATTGTGCTTCCCAGATCGCCAGGCAGTGTGGACTTGAGTAGGAATATCCGGTTTCGAAGCCCAGGATACCTTTAAACAAGAGTATGGTCTTTATATTCGTTTGAATAATGAGAAGTAACTTACAGTAAATTATTTTTTTTAATGTCTCTCGGCATTCATCGGATTTCCGAATGCAACCGAATACAAATGTCCATATTGTCGCCTTACATTCTCAAACTCGTATTTTAAAACACAACATTACTGAAATGCAAAAAATGGATTGTATATACAAATTTTGCAGGCTGATTTGACATCACATTTCCTTCTTATTTACGCACTGGCTTTAACCCATTCTTAAAGTAATGCATCCAAATTAACATCCTTGATAAGAAATTTAAAATAAATATAAAGTTTTGCCATCTCCTGAGTAATGACTCTTTATAAGGTACGCGTTTTAGAAAGTAAGGCATCGATATCTAATTTTTTTATGCTACCAAGTGACTGGACGAACAAGTCGTACGCGTGGTGGAAAGCGACATGCCTGTCCACAACAGTTGCAGTGCCACATTTTTAAATCGCAAAGATCTGACGGGTACTACCAGTGCACCTATCACCCTGAGACATAAGTTGACAAGTCCCATATGCCTGTAATTTTAAGCACCCTTACCCTTCAAAATCGGAATGCAGTAATGATCACAATACTGCTTGGCGGTACAAATAGGCAAGGTGGCAGTACTACCCTGGATGAACTCTTTCACAAGGCGCTCTACTGCTACTATACATATAATTACATTTATCATCTATAATAATTTTGATTCAGATTTTTTTCGTAACAAAATAAGTGTACATTCGACCTCCATCTCACCTAATGAAAAGTGTCGCTGAGGTCGACGATGTAGCATGGACGCCTAAATAATGCCTACTCACGGTCGCCTTGAAAAGCAAAGTCTAGGGAAACTTACCATATTCGGACAAGGAGCTATTATGTAGATGATACTCCGCTTGATCGGGGTAGATGGTGTCGAGAACGCGATACGTCGCGCCGTCTACGCCTTGATGATGGTATACGTGATGCCTGATAAAAAAAGTGATAAAGCTTTTAGAAAAAGTATTTCTGAGGATATTGTAACAAAATTTCAGACTTGAAAGACGATGTCGTCTTACGTAGTATTACGTCATGACCTGTCACTGGCGCCTGGGCAACGGTAATCAATGGACTGTTTTTTGTACAAAAATAGTCAAAATAATAGAAAACTTTCATAGTTTTCTCACAGATGGCGCAACGAGAAATAAGTCGTAAAAAATCGTAAAGTGTATATGTATGTAAACACTTTATTGTACAACACATACAAATTGCAAATTTTTAACAAAGAAATAGACATAGAAAAGGTCTGCTGGTTCGTTCCGTAGCTCCATTGGGAGAACGTCCGACACGGTATACTGTAGGCACTGGTTCGAATCCAGATAGATCCAAGGATTTTTCCTTAGTGTTCGATCTTTGTATTAATAATAATAATTAGAAAACAGTTAAATACAAGAGTCGGCTTTCTATACCTACTGGGTTGTACCTGTAGTATAAGCACGCCTCGGACACTCCATACAACGGTCGGAAGTTATTTACTTACTACTACTACATACAGCAAGGCGCCATCTGCACACGCGCATGTGTGCGTGAAATGGCAGGGTTATCCATCACTTCTACGTACTATACATCACGTGGTCAGAGCGGCAACATAGCGAAAATTCTAACGCCAATTTGTTATCTATAATTCTATTATACAATCCTAATAATTACACATATTCATAAAGTAATATTATATTTTCATTAATTCACTAACAAGAATAATATTGAACATTTATTTAAAAAATATATTAAAAGCACTTAAAATGCTACATTACGGACAGGTACTTTTAAATAAGGTAACCAACATACTTGAAATTACATGTTCAAGTTTATCGTTACCTAGTTAACAATTAGGTACATTCGCTACGTAATATTTATCGCCAATAGAAATTGAAAATTCGAGTATCCTTGTCTATTAGCTCACGAAGTTGTGGCGTCTCGTTATATTGATATAGTAAATCTGTATTATATATTACTCTGCACTAAATAAACGAAGAAAACAATATCTGAATGAGTATCAGACATTTTTTTATTTACTTCGTTTCTTCTTCAGAAAACGAAAGAACCTCCTCTCTTTATCCTGTTTAGATGATGATAAACAGCCGAACACAGCACAATTCACGACCATTATAAATAGTAAAGTACAATGATGTTATATATTAACGTACAAGTTCCGTAATGAATAAATGAAAACTATATTCAAATATCAAAGCCGTCTTAGCGCGAAAACGGCTCGCCGACAGCCTTGTTGTCGTTCAGTCAATGTGCGGGGCGTGGATAAGATACCGTCATGCTCGACATATCTTCGGGAATCCAGACTCCCCTCGCCTAGTTTCGTGATTAGAAGTTCATAATTGTTAATAACGATAAAAATAAAGTAAGCGAAAGTTATTTGAAAGTTTGTTTAATTTGATACCTGTGAGCCATGGTGCCTCGTTCCACGTCTTGGCCAGTGAATCTGATGTGGATGTGATCGCGCAGTAGTGAACCAATCCCAAGAGCTTCTCCCATAGCCCAATCTGCTATACCCTCTTTTACCTGTACACATTACTTCATTTTCCTGTCGCAGTGCAAAACTCGGAATAGTGTCGAGAATACATCAGGAAATTTACTATACCCATGCTTATGCGTAAGCATCGAGCATAAAACCAGAAATGGAGACGAAATAAGGACTATTCATCCCTGGCAACTCATCAGGTAAATGGTCCTTATGTCAAATGCTGCAACAACTGACCTGTATGTACATCTCCGTATATTCCAAAAATATTATGTATTTATTGTAATAAAGATAATATTTTTAACAATGCCGTGTTGTTCTATTCGGTGGTGTGGGAAAAACAGCAAAACATCTAATTACAAAACAAACGGAATCACATTTCATCAGTAATTAAATATGTAGTTTTGCAATTTTCGTCCATTATAGCAAAAGCTGGTCGATTTGCAGTGAAACAATTTGACGACACACGTTGACGACATTCGAATTCGGGCTGGCCAATCGGCAGTTGTCACAGTAGGCGCGGTGGCGGAACGGTATCGGCGCGGTGGCGGCTTCGTATACACGAGCGCTTACGATATGGCAGAATAGTTTTCAAACAAATTAAATGACATTTCGTCTCTATTTCTGGTTATAAATACTCGATGTGCTGGGACCTTACAGCTTGCATTAGGAAGTTTACTAATTATTAATAAAATAATTATTAATTATTAACTTATTAATGAAATATTAAATACATATCGACGATGGAAAGGCAAAACGTCTAACATGCATTAGGAAAAAAATCACAGAAGAGCGATTTAAAGTATTTTTTTTAGAATTTTTTTTTGTCAATATGGAAAGTTTCAGCTTTCCATAAAACAAATAAGTGATATTCCTCTGTTAAGAAAGTGCTACGAATGCCATGTTCAAGCGTAATTTTAAACGTATTGGAAAATCAAAAGAGGTATGATGAGTGATTTTTTTTTATTTATTTGTTGAGCATTGGCTATAGAGCCATCAGCTTAAACAAGCAACAAACAATTAAGAAACTCAAAACGTAATAATAATTAAACTAAAAATTAATTTGTGAAAAAACTGTAACTACAAAATCCCGCCATTTTTTCCAACTGTCATTATTATTATTTATTTGTTGAGCATTGGCTACAGAGCCATCAGCTAAAATAATTAAGAAACACAAAATGTAATAAATAATACTTAAACTAAAAATTATTTGTGAAAAACTGAAACTACAAAAACCCGCCATTTTTTCTTCTCATTGGGGTATTTTTACATAAAATGTTTTTTGTTTTTGTTTTGTATAGTTTCTTAAATGCCGCAAATGTTATTGAATTGTAGTATATATTTTTAGGTGTGGTAACACGTCGTTATTGTTTATTGTGATGTTTCAAAATCTATATATATGTATTTTGTATTGTGTTATGTTGATGTATTTATATATTCATGTTTTCAAAATGTATGTTTTTTTTAGTGGCGTTCGTCATTTCATGGTGGCCACAGAATATCAGCTTTAATGTAGTTTTTTATTTTTTGTAACGAGACCAAATAAATACATTTTCCTTCTTTCTTTCAAATAAATTTAGCGATATGATTAATTTTCATAAAAAAATACTTTAAATCGCTCTCCTGTATTATTTTCCAAATGCATATTAGACATTTCACTTTTCTGGCGTCGAATTATAAAGGGTAAAAGACAAAATATGTGTAATGTTACCATTTTCTCCCTATTACTCAAATTCTTGAGAAGTCCTTTGTGAAGATCAAAAGCCCACGGTTCCGGTGGCTTCGTAAAATGATTCGCAATTGTATACAACGATCCTTCGGAGATACCAGTTTCTTTGATCTGCGAATAACTTAATTATTATGGCGTTCCATTGTACTCTTTCATTGTTTCATTAGGCTCAACTCACACTGGCGCAGAGTAGAAGCGTTGCGACGCGTCATGTAGAAGCGTTGCGACTCGTCATGTTTTCATTCATTTATTTATTTATTTATTTATTTAAATTCACCAACGCTTAATACATTCGGTTACAACAATGTTTTACACACATTCGATAGGGTGTTACAGTTAAAATGCTTAACCAATTACAGGTGAACATGCCATGATGAGAGTATGAAAGTTAAGACAATTATTATTAATTTACTGTTGTTTTTTTTTTTCATCTCTATGTTCCCATTATTAAGGTACAAATTTGTGTTATGCAAAGAAGGAGTCGCGCGTCGAGCGCAATGAGGCGTCAGACGCCGACCACACTGTGCATCGTTGCCTTGTTGGATGATGTCGTAATCAGTATTACACACGAAGCTCTAGTCGTCAAGACAAAGTCGTCATTCATTCAAAGACGATGAAGTCGTCGTTTGTTGAACAGGATATTAAAATTAAATCACAGCATATGTTCATTATACGGTAAGTGAATTTTAAAAATATTTATTTCTAAAAGGAAGACGATTATTTCAAGGTAATACCTTTTTGGGATATTTTTTCATTTAATTGTTATGGTAATCTATTAGTATTAGAGTAATTTTTTGAGATACTACTATGTTCCTCAAAGTTTTATCGAATTGAATATTGTTTCTTCTTTTATTTAAAAGTATTAAGCGTGAATAGTTTAGTTAAAACTCTGAATCACAAATATTTTATGTTCAAAAGGGTAATAGGAGCCTTCAGCTTCTATGCTGTAAGTGTGTTCACCTTCTTGGGATCAGTTGCCTCGAAGAAACCCGTCCACGGAGTGTCGATCCAGTCCATGATACTGAGCTTGGTCACTTTTTTCGCAAGCTCGAAATGCGCATTCAATGTGTCCATGTATTCTTTCTCCCAACCTTTTAAATCAGCATCTGTTACTGCGCCTTCTGCTTTTAATTGCTTAGCGTAAATCTTGTCCACTGAAAACGACAGGACAAGTGAACAAATTTTCTTTTGCACATCACACGGTCTAAAATTAAGCGATCGGCTGTTACGGGGGGTCTTCTAAATAAAAGAAGGAATACCCTTGTAAACAAATTTATTTGGGCGCGGTTCGTTTTTTTAAACCCAACGGTTATTCACTGAACTTTTGCCCTCCTACGACCAGCAGCTGGTACACCTCTGTTCCGCCGAAGTAACGTCCGGGGTTGAAGTAACTGGTACAGGACCGGATCCGTCCGCCTAATATGAAGTCCGGGGGTGCGGGTTGACGGCGTCCGCCAAATATACGTCCGGGGCACGGTGTCGCTCTCTGGGCACAGGCCAGCCGAGTTAAGTTTAACCTGGGCCAATTACACACAAAAGATTCGAGGCGCACTGCCTCTGCGGCCGTCACTCTGAGACATAAGTTGACAAGTCTCATGTATGTGCCTGTAATTTCACCAGCACCCTTACCCTTCAAAACTGGAACACAGTAATGCTGACATTACTGCTTGGCGGCAGAAATAAATAAGCTGGCAGCCCTGGACGAGCTCCTTTCACAAGGAGCTCTACTGCTACTAAGACTAGCTTATAAGATTGATTAGTAATCGTTTTTTTATAAGTACTAACACAAACGAGGCTTTGCTATTCAATAAATTAATGATTTAAATTAGTAATTTTAGTAGTACCTGTATCCATACTCTTAATCTTCTTATACATGAATGGCTGGGTGAACATGGGTTCATCTTCTTCGCTATGCCCGTGGCGCCGGTAGCACACAAGATCTACAACCACATCTTTCTTGAACTGACATCGGTACTCGACGGCAACTCTCGCCGCGTGGCTTACCGCCTCTGCATTGTCTCCGTTCACGTGGATCACAGGTGCATCAATGGCTTTTGCTATATCTGTTTAACGGAATCCGGAGGCTTGAAATTAGGCACATGCTACCATAAGGGTCGAAACACAAAACTGCGATGCGACGTCGCAAGAATTTGCGAATTGCTCCGCATCGCGAATTCCTGCGATGTTAACCTTCTTTGTGTTTTTTTTATACTTTCTTATCAATAACAGCAGTGGACCCTCTTTATAGGATCCATGTCGTTACTTAGTTTAAAAAATACGTTAAGTACGGTTGATGATCGTCGAACGGTTACCCGAATCGTGACAGTGAGATGCCTTGTCGCACAAAATCGCATCACAGTAATTCGCATCGCAGTTTCCTGTGTTTCGACCCTAATACAGATTTTTTCCAGTATGGGAAGCAAGTGGTAATTAATTTAGAATTAATCTACATCTTTGCGCATTATGTGCGGTATTAGTCTTAAAGACAGAATGCCGAATAATGTAGTAAGAGAGCGTTGAGGTGTGTATGATGATAGTAGTGAAAGGGTTGTAACCCTAACAAGCCGTGACTAGGTTCACGGCAGTAAAACAGAAAATTTCAGGTCCACAAATTTATTAAAAGTCGGGTTAAGAAGAAATGGTAACAAAGAAGAAAGAGTAAGGCTGTAATAATAAAAAGGTATATATAAAAAACCCTCCCTAACTTGATGGATATAAAGAGTTATTTAAGTAGACACTTACCCCTAAAAAGGGCCGAGTTTTTCTGAATTACAGATACGTATTCATAGGTACATGATAAGGCTATAGACTGTTATACACTTATTAAGATTGATATATGAGTTAGATTATATTATAACGATTGTAACTTGGTAAAAGAATCAAAATTAGACGATGTGACGATGGAACGAACAAAATCAGAATGTGAGGCAAAAGAATGGAACAATTATATATTAAGCAACCGGAGAATGGCGATAAAAAGGTGGGATGACGATGTAAGGAGGGCACACCGTCACAGTAGTGACCAGGAGGGTCTACGCCTTTTCTCCATCCGACATCCGTCCGAACAATTACTGCCAAATAACACTCGATCAAATCAAAAGATGAAATGTCAAGTATGAAGCTTCATTCCCATCGTGCGTCTTTTTTATGAGGTCCAGTATTACTTATATGACAGTCATTGTTCCGACAGACCCCCTGGATGGACAGAGGGATGCTTCGATGGTTTGGAGATTGACGGCTGAGGCGGCTCGTCCAAAGGAGCGCTGGTGCAGTGAACTCCCACTCCTATCCAACCCACTAAAATAAATTTATTAATTATGCTTTCATATTATATTTGTAGCCGCAGTATTTTTTTATATTAATGAACACACAATTAGATTTTTATCTTTCTCTCTAATATAGAATAGCATACTTACCCGCGAGTGGAGCGTTTCGCGATGCGCTCCTATGAACCGACATTGTTTAGAACTGAATTCTATGAGTGCGAAAAGAGAAATTTTTTAACGGCGCGACACGTGAAACAGAAGATTAGCATGAGGAAATTTAGCAAGATTTCTGCGGAAATAAGCTGACTGTGTTTTTTTCGCGCGCATTTTGTTGTGTTGTAAAAATTCTTATTATTCAATCGTTGTTAAGAAGCGTAGTGTTTAGTGGCATTGTTTAAAATGGAACATTATAATGTGAGTTTAATTTGGTATTTAAAATATGTATAGGTTAGTGAGTTAACTCCCACTGAAATCTCCCACGAGCCGCCTCTGATTGACGGCACAAATTTATAGAGCTAATCTGGATGGAGGCGTTGGGAGAGGTAAACCTCGGGATGTCCTTAAAGAGGTCGAATTAAAAGTACCAAGAATAAACATGCATGTATGAAGAGACTGTTGAAATTGAAGGAGGCGAGGGAGGTTTGTCAGGAGCTTAGCAGAGGAGAAGCCCTTTAATTTACCTGTACAGTACGGCGTGCTTCTCGAGTACCTGGGGTCGGTAGTGTAACCTATCTGGTTATTGCACACGATGTGTATGGAGCCGTAAGTGTTGAACGCCTGCAAGTTCGACATCTCCACTGTCTCATACACTACCCCTTGACCGGTGAAAGCTGCATCCCCGTGCATTATTATTGCCATTACCTGATTGCAACACAAATTTTCGATTATCAAAGGTTTTTATGGCTCTGAAATTATGGACGTTCTACTCTGCATGAAGACATGGGCTACCTAGAATTCGTACCTTTGGTGTAATAAGGTCACATCTGCAAAATTACAACTTTTTAGGAAAGAGGTTTAGATTCTGTGAACGACATTGGTCGAACTTTTTTATACTCAAATAAAATTTTATATATACATAATCTGCTACATGCAATACTACCTACTACGTTTATGACTTATGACATTTTGATATATTTTTTATTATACCATACATACATACCAAATCTTGTATCTGCCATAGAGCAGAAAACAAACAACCAAAAAGATTTAAGTTCTTTGACATCATATCCGTGTAGTAAAAATATTGAAAACCTATTTGGTCGCTTTAGGGCCTCCAAATTATACATTTATAGAAGCTTCAATGATTTTTAATTCACTAATTATGACCGCAAAAGCGGCGCGCGTGTCACGACAGTGGCGCTGCAACTATGCTTCTAATATTGTATGAAAATTAGTAGCGGCGCGGGTGCAACGACACAGTGGCGCCACTGCAACGCTTCTATAAGCGTCTAATTTGAAAGCACCCTAAGTCTCTGCCATATATAGCGAAATATCTTGGCGTTTAGAGCCGATGGCACATTATCAGGTTCAAATATACTTAATAGTTTCCTCTTCATACCCTATCCCCTTTTTTGTCTCCTTTCCAGAATTGTTCAGCACGAGTCTTCCCAATCACGACGGGAGATACCACTTCCAAATGCGAGGGATTGCAGCTCATGGACACCTTGATATATTTGTTGGTGCGCCTGATAAACCGGTGGATGTACGTTCCTAAGTGGTACTTGATATCACCGGAACCCTGGGCAAGATGCAAATATTTTTGACCATAATTTTTACCGCACACACTCGTAGTCCTGTACCAGGGAAACCCTGTGTCGCGAGTGCCATGGACACACATACAGACAACCACAAATTACACCCAAACTCACGAGAGAGATGTTGACTATTCTCCCGGCCCGGGAATCGAACCCGGGGCCTCTGTGTGGCAGACCAACATGGTAACCGTTCGGCTACGGAGGCAGTCAATAAAAAGTTATTTGGAATATTTTAAAAGGCTTTGTTATAATTATGAATATACAGAAAAAATCCTTCTATTTGACAGGAGTCGAACCTATGCGTCTGTATGCTAAAGCTAAATCAGGGCCACAAGTATCAACTGAGTTACAGATCGATTCATTGACTTTACGAATTTCTCTCTGTTTGTTACAGAGGTTTTGTATTGGTTTTTTTGGCTTTTATTAAGTAGCAGTAGAGCTCTTTGTGAACGAGTTCGTCCAAGAAAGTATTGCCACCTTACTTGTGTATTTCTATGCCGCCAAGCAGCAATGTGAGTATAATGCGTTCCTGTTTGGAAGGGTAAGGTTTATTGGGAAGATTTTGTGCTCTACAATTAGCTGTCGAGCTATATCATACTCTCTTTTTTTGTAGATTTTTCTTATGATAAATAAGTGGAGTTTGAGAAATGCCCTTTTATATTTCAGCTTTTTTTAGAGTTATGTACAAGTGTGTTGAGTGTGTGCGTTATTAGCTTTTTTAGAGCTCCTTGTGAAAGTGCTTGTGGTCCAGGAAAATACCCATTTCTGCCGCCAAGCAGTGATGTGAGCTGAGTTCACGTTTGAAGGGAACCTAAGGGTGCTGGTGAAATTACAGGCACATGGGACTTGTCAACACATGTCTCAGGGCGACTGGCGCAGTGGCAGTGCCCCTCAGATCTTTGAGATTTAAAGCTCTGAGTGGCACTGCAACTGTTATGGACAGGCGCGTAGTTTACCACCAGTCACACGAACATAGAAAATATATATATAAACAACATAGAAATGACTCCATTGGTTTATTACAATTATTAATACAAAGATTGAGTACAACCTGCGTGTATATGCAAAACTATATGTTTTTGATAGTTAATACAGAGCAATGGGTCTCTAGCTTTTGTCGTATCAATCTCATGACAATAATTAGTATATGTTATTGGTACAACGGGCCACTCAAAATAACTGCCTCCGTGGCCGAACGGTTACCATGCCGGACTGCCACGCAAAGGTCCCAGGTTCGATTCCCGGGCCGGGAGAAATATATGTATGGCCTACATTTATTTCTCTCGTGAGTTTGGGTATAATTTGTGGTTGTCTATGTGTGTGTCCATGGCACCCGCGACACAGGGTTTCCCTAGTGCGGGGCTATGTTGATTGTGAGCGTTATTGTGAGCGTTATTATTAATAAAAAATGTACGTACAAAAACTGTCAAAATTTCAAAATAAAAACAAAAGAAAAAAGTAAAAAAAATAACCGGTTCTTTGGGTTCCATCGGCTTGAATTGCGCAAAAATATCCACCAACTGTTTACGGCACACATTCACCAGCATATTCAAGCGCCCTGATTGTCAGAAATGAATGTAAAAAACAAATTGTATTATTTTAAACGTATTAACAAATACGGGTCCTGGATTCCGATGAGAGCTGTTATCATAACTCTTTTGGGTTGTACAATATAAAAATTCTACAGGTGATTACGAACTACCTGAATTATTCGCAAATTATTTAGCAAAGCATCGAACGATAATAACATCACCACGCATTGGAACATAGTCTTTTGAGGTTAATTTAAGTGACAAATAAGTAACACAAAGTTTCTCAAGTTGGAACCACGCATTGGGTCTTAAACTATCTAAGATTATATTATAATGATGTTAGCTTACCTCGATGTTGCATGGCCATAACGATGGATTGAATACCGAGTCGCGTACAAGAGTCCACAACCTCCTCTAACATTGCGATCATGCTCTCTCCGCCTTCTAAACCGAATCGCTTTTCTGCTGGCCACTTTGTCGCAAAATACTTCTCCAAGCTGACCAAGAAAGTCAAATATCATTTCAGCCCTCCCTAAGGGTCGCCCCAAATGGTCCCCTAAGGGTCGCATCAAATTGACGCACAATAAATTAATACAGAACATATTATTTTGTTAGGTTACCTCAATTGCATAGGCGAATTTTGGCGAATGTGCTACACGCGTGCATTAAGTGCGCCTCTGTAATCGCATCACACGCGCGCGAACAGATCGCACTAAGAAATGCACGTGTGCAGCTGGCGAGCCATTCGTAAACAGGCGTATTTGCCTCGCATTCGTCACATCTGCACGCACACTTTGGATTTTTTTCGAAATAATTTTGTTTATTACAATTTTGCAATAAGTGCCTGGTGTCGCTTGCTGTATATTCCTTTACATTTATTCTTTGAATAACTTTTATTACATTACTGTAACTACTTATATACTCGTAGAATAAAGTTTATGTTGAATACATTGGACTTACAATTGTATGGACGTCGGGTCCGCGCTAAAAAGTGTCCGAACTTATAGGGCGTTAAAATCGTATACAGAGCGTCATTCACGCTTAAGTCTTCGTTTGTTCGACTGACAGCGAAGCAAGCAAAATTAGACAGTACTGCGATGACATTACAATTTAAATTCAACGTTTTAGCTTTTTCATATTCCTTTACATGTCACTACGTTTAAATAGGTTGACTTGGGACATTCTTTTCGTGGTTTTTGTATTAGACCCGTCGTCCATTTATTTGTAAGTCAATGGTTGAATAGCTCGTTTTCATATGGCGCAATGACGCGTCTCTACATCAATG